AATTCTGTCTGTGAGCATCTGGGTGTGAGAACGAGTCGGCGTGGATGACGGGTGTGACAAAGACGACCGCGACAGCGACGACTTCAGTGCCGTCCTCCTCCTCTGTGCGTCTCGCAGGGGAGACGAGGGGAATGCAAGTAGAACGGCGAGCGAGCATTGGACCACCAAAAAAGAAAGACAAAGTGAATCTGAACGTGAATGATCTGAATGTGAATGAATCTGACTGTAAGTGAACCCAGGTACGGTTACGTGTGAGTGGGAGTGGGTCTAGGCATGGGAGACTTGCAGAATCCGAATACGAGTTGGTCAGAATTTGCGTATTCCGAAGTACGAATGAATTCGACTGAGACTGAGTCTGACTGTGGGCACGTCTGAGTGCGAGTGGGTCTGATAATGAGTTGGTAAGTGCGAGTCTGAGTGGGTCTGAACACGAGTGAATCTGACTACGAGTGAACCTGAGGGTGGGTGAGTCTGAGTGTGAGTGAGTCTGGGTGTGAGCACGTCTAAATGCGAGTGAGTCCGAGTTCTGGTGTGAAGAATTTTAATCTGAATATGAGTGAGTCTGGATACGAGTGAGTCCGAGCATCCGTTAGTCTGAGTGTGGGCGAATCTGAGTGTGAGAGAGTCCGAGTGTGAGTTAGTTTGGATGTGCGTGAGCCTGTGTGAGCTGGTATCAACGTGAGCGAGTCTGAGTATCAGCGAATCTGGGTATGAGTGAGTATGAGTTTGGTTGAGTCTGACTGTGATGAGTGAATTTGAAAGTGGGAGAGGTGCTGGTGAGTTAGTCCGAATGCGAATGCGTCTGACTGACGAAGAAATTGGTGTGTGTGTGTGTGTGTGTCGGTGGGGTCTGGAAACGTCCAGGTAGCACAAATCAAAAACAAGCCTGATGGGCCGAGACAAAGCAAACCGCGTGAGACGTCGCCACAATCTGGGCGAGAAAGGGCCCATGCAATACACCCTGGCGGCTCCCCATTGGGGTGCTGAAGCCAGCGCCTTGCCTCAGACATCATCACAACCCGCTCTGAAAAGGAAACGATGTTGGGCACCAACACGAGCAAACCACCAGAGACATCCCCACAATCTGGGCTCGAACGGGCACGTGGCATGGCGGCTCCCCCTCTGAATGCTGAAACCAGCGCCTCGCCTGAGACATCCTCACAATGTGACACGAAAGCAAAAGATGGTGGGCACCGAACCAGGCAAACCGTTCCCCCGGGACCGGTTTTTCATCCCGAATTGGTTGGTTGTTGACGGTCCCGAAACCCGCCTGGCTGGGGCCCCCATAAAACCGAAACTAGCGAAAGACCTCCCGTCGGGATTTGTTTAACTCTAGCAACGCCGATGCCTCGGCCTGAGCGTCGCTATGCTAGGGGGCGATACATGGGGGGTGAGGAGAAAACGTGCATCTCTCGGGCCCTGAAGGCCCCCGTCTGGGCCCCAACGGGCTCCCTCTCTGCAGCCCTCGCTGCCCCCCCCCCCCATTTTACCGCGTCCCCAGTACGCGACGCCCACTCGGCGATGTGGCGCGGTCCTCCAGCCTGAGTTCTCCACGCCGACACACCGCCGATGCATCGCATGGACTTTTTGTTCTTGCCCAGGCTGCTGAGCGCTCCCAAGAAGTCAGGGACCTCCTCCTCCTCCTCCCCAATTCCCCTCCTCTTCCATTCTTTGCTCTCCTCCCTGTCGCACCCCGAGGCCAGTCGGAAGGGCGGGATGGGAGTGACGCCTGAAACTTTCCTACCGCTTATGATCCTAAATCCGAAAGCAACTGGCAACAGTTTCACCGATGGAGGGCGGGTCGCTTCCAGAATGTAGTTTTTGCCTGGACGCCGCGCACATTCGTGTTGAAACATAGCAGAGACTTAGCGGATTGAGTGCGGGTCGTTTTCAAAATGTGGCTCTCGCCTCAGCGCCGCGCACAGTCGTCTTAAAAACACCACGGATTGAAGCCAGGTAGTTTCAAAAGGTGATGATTACTCTAACGCCGCGCAGATTCGTCTTAACAACTTGCGAGGGCTTCACGGAACCAGGGTGGTTCCTTTTCAAAACGCGCCTCTCGCCTTAGTGCCGCGCGCATTCGCATCAAGAGGTTGCAAGTCGTTTCGCTGATTTTGATGGCTCGCATTCAAGAAGTTGTGTATCTTGGAGTCCCAGGAAAGGCGTCCCTGAACAGGGAGCTTGGGGGGCAGGTTTATTCCAATATCGTCGATGATCCTTGGGTTGCAAGTGGCTCTTCAGTCTTTCGCCTGGATATTCAGAATCCCTGCAAGATGTCCCGATCATATATTATGGTCAGTGGGCTCCGCCGATGACATTGGGAAGAAGGGAGAATGCTGTCAAGGAGGGAGAGGAGGAGGGAGAGGAAGGAGAGGAGGGAGAGAAGGAGGAGAAGGAGGAGGAGGAGGAGGAGAAGGACCACTGCGAAGCGGAGGGTGACGAGGAGCACGAGAACGAGTACGAGGAAAACAACGAGGATCGCGGCGAGCAGGAGGAGTAGGAGGAAAAACACAAGGAGGAGGAGGAGGAAGATGAGGAAGAAAACGACGAGACGGACTAGCACCAGGAACATAAAGAAAAATCCGCCGACCCTGTCGGCTTGTGTGAGGGGCTCGTCCGTTCAAGTCGTCATCTCCGTCATTCGTTGGTCGTCGTCTCTGTCGTCCCCTTTCCCTGCCTCCCCCTTTCCCTGGGCTCGTCGACGCTCCCCCCTTTTCCAGGGACCTCCTCAGCGCGCCAACCAAAGCGAAGTTGAGGAACGTCGTAATTGAGTCGAAGGGAAGCCCCTTCCCATCGATCCCTTCCCCGCCAGGTGGGGGGGTCCCGGGGGGGGTCAGATACGACGCCCCCCCGGGGAGTCCCGGAGCCCCAAAAAGCACCAAAAGACAGTCCAAGAGAACCCCGCATCGCCGAACGATCTGTCGTCCAAGACGCCTTGACGGCCTCCAGACGGCCCAAGAGGCCTGCAAAGCGCCCCAAGAGGCCTCCAGGAGCTTTCTTTCCCACGAGAGCACCAAGAGGCAACATTCATAGATTTTTCATACGTTTTTAAGACATGTTGGCGTTCTTGTCTCTTCCGCTTCTCGACGCGCCAAGACGGCCCAAGAGGCCCCCAAGATCGCCCCGAGACGGCCCAAGAGGCCCCCAAGAGGGTCCCCTAACGGCCGAAGAGGGCCCCAAGACGGCCCAAGACGCCTCCAAGACGGCCCAAGGGGCCCCCAAAATTGCCCCAAGACAGCCCAGGAGAGCCCCAAATTGCCCAGGAGGCCTCCAAGAGTGCCTCGAGAGGCGCAAGATGAGCCCTGGACGGCCCAAGACGGCCTCAAGAGAGCCCCAGGCTGTCCCAACAAGAAAGCATCTGGCCTCCTCCTCCTCTTCCTCCTGATCCTCCTCCTCCTCCTCCTGCTCCTCCTGCTCCTCCCCCTCCTCCTCCTCCTCCTCCTCCTCCTCCTCCTGCTCCTCCTGCTCCTCCTGCTCCTCCTGCTCCTGCTCCTGCTCCTGCTCCTGCTCCTGCTCCTGCTCCTCCTCCTCCTCCTCCTCATCCTCCTCCTCCTCCTCCTCCTCCTCTCTGCTCCCCCTCCTCCTGCTCTCCTCTGCCTCCTTCTCCTCCTCTTGTTTCTCCTCCACATCCTTCTCCCCCCTCCTCTTCCCTCATCCACCTCCCCCACCTTTCCTCCACCTCCCGCTCATCCTCCTCCCCCTGCCCCCCCTCATTTTCATCTACGTCGTTCTCAGGGTCGGCGGCACTGGCCGTAAGGCCTTCGCAATATCACCAGGAGCATGCAGAGGATTTCGTAAACGGGGACGAGAAGGAATGAGATGAGGAGATACAGGAGGAGGAGGAAGACGAGGAAGAGGAGGCGGGGGAGGACCAGGAGGATCATGATTAAGAGAATGACGACGACGACAAGGAGGAGGAGGAGGAGGAAGAGGAGGAGGAAGAGGAGGGGAGAAGTGAGATAAGGAGGAGGAGGTGGAAGTGGAAGCAGGAGGGCGAGGGCGAGAAGACGAATTACATACGTGGATGCGGGGAGGAGGAGGAGGACGACGACGATCGCGAAAAACTGGACGACGACGCCGAAGGCTCAGCCGGATCAGAAGCAGGCAAACGCTCGAACACTCTTAGGAGACACCTTAGCTCAAACAGCGCTGTTTGGGGTTACTGGACTCTGGCTACACCTTCTGCGACAAAAAACGCGTCATATAGGTTGTCATGAATAAACGCTTCCTTTTCAAGACAACCAACTGCTCTTTATTATGACGTACAGCGATGGCAAGAACCTCCTCCCTCTGGCCCCGCGAGATTGCCCCCAGCCTCCAGAAGCCTGCGCACCAGTCCTCGCCGAAGTCTCCCGGGGGTCTCCGCAGAGGCCTCCAAAGGCGTCGGGGGAACCTCTGTCGCGCCCCTCCTTGGGACGCACAAGGACATAGTAGCACTATGTGTCCTCCCAGGAGGCCTGCGCCCGAACCGAACAGATAGTGCACACATCTTGTAGCATATCGCTTCCCAAGCGAAAGCACCCGCCATGCAGCATATCAGAGTGAGGGGGCCCGAACGGTCATTCACTGTCCCTGGGTGCGTGGCTGAAGTGGGGATCCACGGCGAAGATTATTGTTGTTGTTTTGTTGTTGTTTTGTTGTTGTTTTGTTGCGTCGCCCCCCCCCCCGCTCCGCGACCCGCCCGCGACCCACCCGCGACCCACCCGCGACCCACCGCGCGACCCACCCGCGACCCACCCCGCGACCCACCCGCGCGACCACCCGCGACCCACCCGCGACCCACCCACGACCCACCCCGCGACCCACCCGCGACCCACCCCGCGACCCACCCCACGACCCACCCGCGACCCACCCGCGCCCCACCCCGCGCCCGCCCCCATCACTCTTATCCGCAATTGCGGGGTGCGACGTACTAGAAGATTCATCGGCGCGCGCGTCGCCCCTGGGGGGGGGCGACGATCACATAGTACTAGGATGTTGGGGTGGCGCCGACTCCTGGCCTGGCGAAGTTCGACATCCCGATCATCTTCAGTTCCCTGTCGAAATCCAGCGGCTTTGGCTGCTCGGCCTGGATGGCGGCGACGTCCTGGGGCGGGCTCGCAGGAAGCATCGGACGGCGAAGTCGGGTCAGGTCTGATCGCGAGCTGAGGCCGAACGCGCCGCACGAGTGGAGACGGCGTGGGACAAGCTCTGCAGTGTGACACGCCCCTCTGACACACAAAATTGCTGACAGGCTGCTGCGAGACGCCAGGAAGGACGCGATTGCAGCAGACGTCCTCCCGAAGCCCAGGTGGAAACTCATGCACTGAACTGCCCCGCTGCGCAACACGCAGTCCGTACAGTCGGGGCGTTGACCAAAGGAACCCTAAGTAAGGAACGAGGCCCCTTTCTTCAATAAGTGAAACTTCGATTCCCCATCGAAAACCTAAGGAAAACGTGGGGCAAACTGTGAAACAATCAAGGAACACCGAGCCCCTCCCCAACGAAAAGCGTTCCTTCTTCAAGGCCCCGACTGTAGCGTATTAATACGGCGCTCGACACGAAGACTGAAAACATGGGTATGACGCGATACCTTCGCCAAAACGTGGAACAACACGTGCCGAGCCAACACGCAGCGTGTTAACACGGACGTTTTGGACACGGTACGTGTTGCGTTTCAAAACTGGCGTATCAGGGCAGCCAAGGCAAGCATGCGTCTCTGCTTCGCACACGGCGGCTCGAAAACGGCGGCACGGGGCAGCGGCGGCTGGCGGACCGGGCCGAGTCCTCAGGCTTCTCGTGGGCGGAACACACACACACACACATCCGTATCCACTGCCTCGCGGGAGCTGGGCCCGTGAGCAGCGGCACCGTGGATAATTAAGTTGTCTTTTTGTTCGAGGCTGCCCCACGCTGAACGTACCCGCTGCAACCGCATAAACACAGGGCCGCAGCCCGAAATCCAGACCGCGATAGCGCGGGTGTGGATCTTAGCTGCCCCGGCACGCAATGCGCAACACGTAGCGTATTGATACTGAGCAACACGTAGACTGAAAACGCAAGTATCACGCGATACCTTCGCAAAAACGTGTGCCAATACGTTGGGCCACCACGCAACGTATTGACGCGGACGTTTTGAGCACGGCACGTGCTGCGTATCAAAACAGGCGTATAGAAGCAGCTGGGTATGCCACCGCATGATCACGGGGTCGGGACCCGAAGTCCAGACTGCGATGGCGCGGATGCGAATGCGTTCGTCTCTCATTAGCCTCTCCGAGAGCGGACCGCACCACGAACCCCAGCCCAAAACCCATCCTGGGCCCTGGGTTGCTGTGTGAACCCTGGCTGGCTGGCCGAGCGGTGAGAGCCTGGCCACCCGCCCCGCCTCAAGCCCATCCTGAGCTCCAGGACCTCCAGGATTGCCACAACCAGCGCCACGGGCCCCCCAATAAACAACCATACAATCACCGTGCAACTATAAGTGAATGCAAGAAACGAAAGGTCGTTTCTGGCCACGGCGAACCTCGGCCGCGAAGAGGTCCCCCGATCTAAATCTAAGGAGCGGCCCGACCACCAGATCCCCTCAAGAGTCCGAAGTGGTCCTTATTTCAGCGCCCTGGCAACATGATTACAGGAAGCCCGGTCCCCAAGGATCCAACCTCTGCGTAACATTGGTAGCTTGCCAAACAGACATTCAGATATGGAAGCTGGAAAAGAAAGCGGCGACACTCACGCGGGTTAGCCGTAAAGTCTGTGCTTCCGCTCAAGGTGCAAGCCAGGATGCGCCATCTGGAAACAAATCCATCCCTGAGTGACGCTGAAGCTCGCGCAATTTCTGCGCAACGTCGCTCATTTCGCTGACCCTCAGAGCTGGGGCCTGTTTTGTTGATTCGTCGCAAACGCGGGCAAAACAGCGTGACGTGATCGGGGGGGGGAGGGAGAGGGCCGCTCACGGCCGTTATCGCCCAGATATGGAAAAAAAGAAAAAAAACTCCTGTGACCCTGAGCGCCTCCTTTCCCAGCTCACCGCGAGACTCGGTACGGTTTGATCTGCAAGGCCGCTCCTCGGGGTCGTTCATGGGAGCGCCCCCTCAGCAATCGGTCGGGCGCAGGGGCGCCGAGGCATATCCACCACCGTGCCTTGAGCACGCAGCTGCCCCAACTCTGCGCGCCGCCCGCTCGAATCGCTCAAAGACCGAACGACTGGTCGACCCGAGGGGGCGCTCTCCCGTTGCCCAATCGCCCTCACCCAGCCGGGCGGAAAGGGCGCGACGGCCCGGCATTCAGAGCGTTGAGCGCCCCCAGCACCGAGTGGATCCGCCGCTCGCGGCTCGCCCGCCTCCGCAGTCTTTGCCGGAGATATTGGGGCAGTCCTCGCAGTCCAGGCCGATCTTGTTCAGGCACCAAAACTGGGAAGGGTTCTCCGTGCTGTCGGGCCCCCTTCTCTCCCCCGTGCATGGCGACGCCACTGCGCGCCGCCCACCGCCTGGGGAACCAACGCTAGGCGCGGCGACGCCACGCCTCTCCGGGCCGACTTGGACCCCGCGGCAGGCTCGGACTTCTTGCCCGCCTGGCGCCTCTTGTCTGCCGCTCTCTCATCCCGCCACAGCCGCTGCTGCTTGAGGAGAAAACCTGGTCCTCCTGGCGATCCGCCACCCACTTCGTGAAGTTCTTCGTGGTCACCTCGCCGCCCATGCCGATCGGATGCGATATGACCACCCCCAACCCCTCGAAGTCCGGTGACATTGGATTCCGCCGACCTGCTGCCTCGATCTGGATCAGCCGCCTGATGTGCGTCTCCTTCGACGGGCTGTTCGTCAAGTCGTACTGGTCCACGCTCTGGGCAGCAGAGAGGACGCTGCTCAGGTGCTTGCGCTTTCTCGCAATGCCCGATTTCGTCGCCACTCCACTCTTCATCTCCCAATCCAGATTGTGAGTCACGAGTTTGAGGCCGACGCACATCATATTCACCATGAACTCGTCCGCTGCCTCGGGGCCATCGAACGGTTCGTACGGAATCTTCTTATTGCTCTGCCTCTTCGTGGCCTCGTCTGGGACAAGGAACCTCATGCCACGGTGGTCTCGAACGTCCCCGAGCAACCGTGGATCGCGTCCTGGGCCACAGCGCTTCGCCGACAACCACGCTTCTACCTTGTCGTCGACGACATGCTGGATCAAGACGCTCACCAGCCGACCTTGTCTCCCAGGCTGCACCCCTCCTGGTCCCGGAGGGCGTCCAGCGGCACGATCTCCCCGAGGGCCTTGTGCGCTGTGTCCGCGACCCGCCAGGTAGCATTCTCCACAGCAGCCGCGGCCCCGCCAGCGCCTTGACCCCCGTCAGATCGAAGCCCGCACCTCTGCAAACTCGTAGGCTTCGGCCCTGATGCGAGCCAGTTCGCCCTCGTCGATTTCCTCCTCGACGACAATAGCCTCGCGAAGGTACTGGGGGTCGGTCGGCTCTCTCCGGCGCAGGATGCGGATCCGATGGTTCGAGGGATCCGCGATCTGCACGGCGAGGCTAGGTGAGCACACACACGCCATCTTCCCTGCCCTCCAGGAGTGAGTAAGATACGGGCGTGCCAATTTAGTCCGATATCGTCCCCGAAAAAGTCTATCAGAACCTGCTGTTCTGGTATGTCTATCGCTCCATGCTGAACCATTCCTCAAACGCAAAGCCATTGGAGTAGCGACGGCCGATCTCGAATCAGGTAGCTGCTCTCTCCCTCGAACTGCTGCCAGTCGCCTGTCATGCCGGCTGATGAAGAGTCCGAGACAGCACCCGCCCCCACACCACAACTCAACGCCAGGCCGAGCAGGAGCAGCAGCAGCAGCAGCAACCACGGAACTCGCAGATCTCGGCCTCGCACGCGGGACAGGCCTCCTGCACTGTGCACTCTGCCGCTGGCGCCTGCGCACGCGCAGCAGCCGCGAGCTCGCCCACCATCTGGTAGCAGGCGCTGGTGTCTGGGCACGAGACCCCCCGGACAAGTCGAACAGTGCTGCTCCGGGCAGCTGAGCGAGACGTCTGGGCACGGTTGCCCGAATCCCGACAGGTCGCGGGCCACGGCCCAGAAGAGATGGAGTGAAGCGGCAGGGTCCCCCACCATGCTGATGTCGCCGCCAGGGGACCCTCAATCATTGTGAGCCAATGCGATTCTGGAAGAGAGGTGACACGCGGCGCCTCCTCGGGTCAGCAACTGTAGCCCGAATCTACAATCGTGAGATGGGTGCTTATATATATATATATATATATATATACATACATACATACATACATACACGTAGCTCCCTGCAATTGCGGATAAGAGTGAGGGGGCGTGCGCGGGGTGGGTCGCGGGTGGGTCGCGGGTGGGATGTGGGTGGGTCGCGGGTGGGTCGCGCGGGTGGGTCGCGGGATGGGTCGCGAGTGGGTCGCGGGGTGGGTCGCGGGTGGGTTGCGGGTGGGTCGCGGGCGGGTCGCGGAGCGGGGCGAGGGGACGACGCAACTAAACAACAACAGAACAACAAAACAACAACAAAACAACAATAATCCTCGCCGTGGATCCCCACTTCAGCCACGCACCCATAACAAACAAAATCAGAGAGAACGTGAACATCTATGGGCTGTTCCTGGGGGGTGGTGAGTTTTACTTCCGTGAGCGGATGCTCATTCCATCGTTATGCTTCCACCAGCTTGCGCCAGCTGTTCGCTACCTTCCGCTGGATAAGGGACGTCAGATCCTTCGCACCCTCGACGGCAGAGCCCTCTCTAGAACGCGCAGTATGTGCATAGTTGTAAGCATGAAGCGGATACATCATGTATGTCTATGCGCATACGAATTCACCGCCGCGACAAGAGTGTGCCCTTTTTACCTTGCCACGTCGAATGAAGGCGAGAGTTTCGCAAGACTTGCGATGGCCCCCCCCGTAGATTCCTACACCAAGACAACAAAACGCAGCGGTGGCGCGGCAACGGCGGAAGAACTAAATTCTTCCACTGCTGCTAATTCGTAGTAACTGTTTACTTCAAGGGATTATTTGTTCCGCTTGTTCTTCGACGCGCGGAAAATTCTTCCGCGCCGGCGCGAATGAACCCCATTGGAAAAGGAAACTGGGCGTAAACTTTCTTCCCACCGGAGAATTAGCACACTATGTTGACTTATGAATGTGTGAACTGATACTTCCCAGGCCCAGGCAATTAGTATCCAGTTTCTCGGCCCGCCGGCCCCCGTCCAACACGCTGCCGAACGCCACGACGCAGAAGAGGCCAGCGACCAGGGGCAGCTGTGCTGGCATCGCATGCCAGCCGATGTCCTTGGCGGGTCTCGTCGTCGTCGTCGTTGTCGTCGTCGTATCCTCTCTCCTCCCTCCTCCCTCCCTCCTCCCTCCTCCCTCGTCCCTCTCGGTAGAAGGTAGGACAACGACCCGCACAATGATAATCACTATACAAGCGAGTCCCTTTTGTGAGTATACACTATAAAGCAAATAGTCGAACAGGGCAGGACTGCTTAGTAAACGCCAGCTATGGAGATCGGGGCGTGCTTGTCCCCCCTTGGCTCGAGGAGCAAGAATGCCAAAGCGCAGGCGGGGAAAAGCGACGATGCCCAGAACTCAACGGTCACAAATCGCAAGGGTACCTTTCACGATCTCATCCCGCCGCCCTCCACGTCGAATCCGCGCCGAATCCACCTCGAATCCGCCTCGAACGTGGGATCAGCGTCGAATCCACGTCGACTCAGCGCCGAATCCACATCGAATCCGCATCGAATGCGCCGTCGAACCTGCGACGGATATAAGAGAAGACAGCAGTAAACAGGCCGAACAACCCCCCCCAACATGCAACGCACCAAGTGGACACAACACCCTTCGCAAGAAACACAAGTGAGCATATGCATCGCAGAAACCAAACGACATCAGAGCCAAATGTGCCACGGTCATGTACACTCATGTTTCTTGCACTCGGAATTATGGGCGAACTTACCCCTTTGCATGGGATGTAAGGCTGCGCATCTGCATACGGAATTAGGCTTGCGCATAAGCACCTGCAAAGCAAACTAGCGATGGACTCGCAATACCAAGCTGATGGACAGACCATACGAATAGAGCTCAACCAAGGTCGCACTGAAGGCGCAACACATTACCAACATAACATGATCGCTGTAGCCTTGCAGGGCCAGACTCCGCTGCAATGCGGTTGATCAAGGCGTCCACGGTACCATAAAGAACGTGCGCAATTCCGCCGCAAATGCATCGCAGCTGAAAATGTCTACGCAAGCCCTGTTTCCACCCAACATGTCACAATACTCTCTTTTGCAAACGGCTAGAGGCACGTCGAACCAAACACATTGCCCAGGTGCGATGTATTGGCTCAATCGGACCAGCTGCATGTCGATATCTACAAGCGCGGCTCCTGAAGGAACATCTCCAAAAGAAGGTCTGGAACACTTCCTATTGGATTCGACGACCCGTGGGCCGCCAGGTCGTGCCTTGAGGGCACGCCCGTGGCATGTGAATTGGCTGATCCTCCTCATCCTCCTACTCCGCGCCATCACCACCACAACGAAATCGGGGATCGACAATCCAGACTCAGGTCAGTCGGGCTCTGCAGGATCCTGCAAGATCCGACGCAAGCCCCGGTCAATGCACCCCTGGCTCTGCAGGATCCTGCAAGATCCGGCGCTCTGACTGACCCCCGTGTGCATTGACCCCGTCTCTCCAGCCCAGGCGAAAGTAAACCTGCAAGCGATAAGTTATAGCCTCTCGTCGAAACTGTATGCGAAGTGCAGGGCCCCTGACGCGAACCCTACACTTGAAAAGGCCACCCAGACTCTACGGAAATCTGATGCGCTCACGTTGCCAGCGCACTACAATGAAGCTGTCCAGAGTCAACATGCACAGTGCAGCGGCATCGCAAACTGAATCCAAATGCGCTCTGGCTGCGCGATCCTGGAGGTTGTTGTACAGGCTGAAGCACTGCCAACCTTGCCAAATCCCCCGCCTTTACGCAGACCTACTATCTGTCCACCCTTCGAGTGTACATGAGATGATGCCTGAAAAGCATGGGAAGCAGGAGGGGAAGGAGCTGAGGGGAGGGAGAAGGACGGCGAGGATAGAGAAGGTGACCCGATGCCACTGAATGGCCACCCGTTGCCAATAGTGCGAAACCCTCCCGAGAGCCCCCTCCTCTCTCTTCCACGTCGTTTTCCACACCACCTTCCCTCCTGCACCTTCTCCCCCTCCACCTGCTTTCTCCTCATGCTCCCCGCCCTCCTGGTCCTCCAACGTGCACGCGCGCCTCCACGTACCCATCCCCTCCCTTTCATCCCTCCTTATCGCTATCTTCCAAGTGGGCCACCGTGCCGTAGGCACTGAGTGGAGTGTCCTCAGATCCCTCCGAGCGCCATGCCCTGCGTCTTCCCAAAATTGGGACTCCATACCTCCGTGATGGCCTGATATTGTCTTACAGCGGAGGCCAGTCCACAAGAACCCTTCCACAAGAAACCCAACTCTGAGACACCAGGGCATCCCTTGATTTGTTGAGTGGGCACGTCGCGCTTTCCATCGCAAAGCCCTCGAAACCCAGGAAACCCTGGAGGCGAGCAGGGTGCTTCTTGGGCATGGGCCTCCACTGTATGAGGCCGTCGTCCTGGAGCTCCTTCCTCCTCGGCGCATATCTGGGGCTGCTTCGGAAAAGCCCCCGGGCCAGCCCGGGAGGCCGCACCTGACATTGGCCTCCAGTTATCGATCGCGCCCCAGAGGAGGAAGAGAGAGAGGACGAGGAGGAGGAGGAGGAGGAAGATAGAGGAGGAGGAGGAGGAAGATAGAGGAGGAGGAGGAGGAGGAGGAGGAGGAGGAGGAGGAGGTGAAGAGAGATGAGGAGGAGGAGGAGGAGGAGGAGGAGGAGAAGGAGGAGGAGGAGAGAGGAGAAGAGAGAAGGAGAAGGAGGAGGAGAATGAGAAGGAGGAGGAGATGATTCATCAATCCAGAAGGGAGGATAACTGCCGAGCGATGTCGCTAGCCCCCATGAACAATCAAACAATTCTTCTTGGGGGGCGGGGGGGGGGCGGTTGGAGTAAGATGGGTAAGACAGCCCAAGAGAGGCCTCATGAGTCTCGCAGACAGTCAAAATCCCTGAAACAGCTCTTAGACAGTCCAGAAAATAACGTTAGAACGCTACAACAGCGAAACATTGGCTAAGCTCGGTATATCATTGAACAACTTATGGTGGTACCATCGAATGGGCGGTCGGCTGACTAAAGTTGCCAGGCTGATCAAGCCAGAGTAACGCCGAGCAATGCAGTACAATGGAATGCAACGCGCAGCAGTTCAAAGCACCGCAGGGCAATGTGAATCATGGCGGTGCAATGCCAACGATTACAATGCAACACAACATCCCTGGTCAGATTCCAATGCAGCGCCAACCTCCCCCCATGTGATTTCTATTTGCACCCCCTGGTCAACCATACTACTTGTTCTGCCCCCGTGAGGCGTAGACCACGACGGGAAGAATCCCCCCCCGACACTGCCCGCGTGATTCAGCACCCGTGTTCCGAAATTGGCCGGCCCACGTCCCTCCGAGCAGTGGGATACTATTATAGTCTGAACAACCGTGCAGCTAGACAATACATTAGATCAGAGAAAATGAACTCCCATCTGGCGACACGTGCGCACAACCGTGCAGACTCCGTTCACACCCCTCTTGACCTCGCACGGTCCTGAGGGGCACTCCGGTCCCAGAGATAACGCCACCCCTGCGCCGCTGGCGTTATTCAGAGCCCGCATTCCGTGATGTGCCCCCTGCCCCAGCTTCTGCGAGACAGTAGAGAGCTGGCAGCCTGAGCAACAGTGGTAGGAGTTAGTTCGTAAATCAAATAAGACAAAAGAGTAAGGCGCGTCCTTGTCCAACTGTGAATCTCGCTCGAGATGTCACACGGTTAGGGCAAGTTCATGCGAGCTGAAGCTCAACTGCTGCACCAGCCACGCGGGAGGAGGGCGGCCCGTTTTGGCAATCAGGGGGGCTCCAATGAAGGAGTCCTATGTGGGAGTCCCATGGTGGAGTCCTGCTGGGATCTGGGATCCTCTTTCAACCCTATCAGAATCCGATCGGAATCCGATTCGGATAGTAGTAGCTGGGTTCATGTTGCAATCCTCTTGGGCTCTCATTGGGATCCGATAGGGGTCTTGTTGGAATCCTAATATGATCTTGGCGGGATCCCACACTGAGGGGCCTGGGGGCGGGATATCACGTCCAAGGGCGAGAAGCGATATAGTTTCGCCGAAACGGGGGAGGGGCGATCATTGGAGGTCAAGGGGATTGAAACACCATATGTGATGGACATTCGCATGCTCGAAATTTAGGTCTTACCAGCGTTCAAGATGACTCAAGAGGCCGCCAAGCGGGCTAAGGGGCCTCCAAAACGAGCTCAAGAGGCGGAACTCGAACTGACATTTCGATCCCAGTCCCCCTAGGCGGCACCCGAGACTGCAAAGAGGCCGCCAGAGGCACCAAAAGAACCTCACACGAGGCCCGCACGAGGCCTCCACGAGGCTTTCAAGACGCCCATAAGAAGCCTCCAAAGAGACCCTAAGAGGCCTCTAAGAAGAGCTTTCTCGTTCACGACCCTTGCACGGTGGTGGGATGGGCTGAGGGCCACTAGATCCGCCGCCCCCTGTTGATAGATCATGCGGGTTCTTGGCGTGCCCATGTTTATGGCTCTTTCAGGGCCCCTCCAACAGGTTCCCTGTGGCCTTCGACACAATCCGCTGGCCACACGGAAAGAACCTGGCCGACCTACAAATCAAAACAACTCGTGTCCAAGGTGGCCAGTATGGGCCTGAAGACGATCTATGTGTGTCCCTGATGGTCTCCAAGATGGCTCCAGACGCCTCGAAGATGGCCCAGGCGAGCCCGACGAGGAGGCTATGAGGGTCCAAGAGGACAAGAGGCCAACACCATTGGGCCCCAATATGATTGATTTTCACTGCTGTTCGATCTATCGTCTAATCGGTCATAAGAGTGTTCCGGGACGGCCCAAGAGGTCTCCAGGACCAGTCCAAGACGGCCCAAGCAGGCTTCAAGAGGACGTCAAGACGGCCTCGAGACACCCCAAGAGGGTCTCAAGACGGCACAAGAGGACCGCAATACGCCCCTAGATGACCCCAAGAGAGCCCAAGACGGCCCAGAGAGGCCCCCAAGACGGCCTCCGATTGCACCAGACGGCTCAAGATTTCCCTAAGACTACCCCAGAGCCCCACGATGGCCCAAGAAGGCCCACACGGCTACAAAAGAGCTCCAAGACGGCTCCCCAGTGTTCCCCCAATGGTTTCCCGATCAGCTGGGGGAGCGCATTGACTATGGTGGTCGCACTTCCTTTCGCCATTTCTCGACACAGGCGTTTCCAAAAGGCAGAGGACGGCGGTGACTCACGGCATGCGTCTTCTACTAATTATGCACAACTTCGCGCCCTCCAATACCTCTCCTCCCGATCCTCCTGCCGACTTGCCCTCGAGGTACTCTTGCCCTGCTCCAGGATCCCGATAGCAGCATACATAATGTTTGTTCTCGTCGGCGGCGAGGCGGACGCGATTCGCACCAGCGTGGGGCTAAACGGGGGCACCGAAAAGCAAATACCGGCGTGCAGGAGAGGGGAGGAGGAAGAGGGAACAGCCGCGGGCAGGGGAAAAGAAGGAGGCGCTCAGACGTAGAAGAGTTCCAGGTCCATGGGTAGCATACACACACGCGTCACAGGAGGAACGCAAACCATGAGACGGCCCCCCTTTCTGGGTCCGAAAGCTCCAGCTACATGAGACCGGTGAACGTTTTCCCCACATGCTTCGTGGGGTTGTGGTTTTCTTCCCACCCGCGTCCCACCCGCGAAGCTCACTCACTCACCTCCCTCTTCCCCTCCTCTTCCTCTCCCCACCCGCGCTCAACACATGCACGGCACGTACAAGAGACACGCGTTTACTTACAGCCGCACGCATGCACACATCACACACGCACACGCACACACACACACACACCAGACAACGCTGTTGCACGCCTGTCGTGTTCACTGCACCGTACACCCACGACGTACGCGCTACATACTAAGCACACACATGAGGCACACGTCCCGATACGGCCGCACACGCATCACCCACATGCACATGCACGTGACATGCCATATACAAGACGTGCGTGTAGGATTCGCAGTGCGTGGCGGGAATGGCATTTCCTCGGCACCAGAGGGAGTGCGCAGGGGGTGGTCTCTCAGCACGGCCTTTATGCGTGCCAGGGTCGGAGAGCCTGGTAGGCGTGGCACTTTCTCGACACCAGAAGGGGGTGCGCAGGGGGTGGTCTCTCAGCGCGGCCTCTATGCGTGCCAGGGTCGGAAAGCGTGGCAGGCGTGGCACTTTCTCGACACCAGAGGGGGTGCGCAGGCGGGTGGTCTCTCAACGCGGCCTCTGTGCGTGCCAGCGTCGGAGAGCGTGGCAGGCGTGGCACTTTCTCAGCGCCAGAGGGGTGCGCAGGGGGTGGTCTCTCAGCGCGGCCTCTATGCGTGCCAGGGTCGGAAAGCCCGGCAGGCGTAGCACTTTCTCGACACCAGAAGGGGTGCGCAAGAGGTGGTCTCTCAGCGCGGCCTCTATGCGTACCAGGGCCGGAGAGCGTGGCAGGCGTGGCACTTTCTCGACACCAGAGGGGTGCGTAGGGGGTGGTCTCTCAGCGCGGCCTCTATGCGTGCCAGGGTCGGAAAGCCCGGCAGCCGTGGCACTTTCTCGACACCAGAAGGGGTGCGCAGGGGGTGGTCCCTCAGCGCGGCCTCTATGCGTACCAGGGCCGGAGAGCGTGACAGGCGTGGCACTTTCTCGACACCAGACGGGGTGCGCTGGAGGGTGGTCTCTCAGCGCGGCCTCCATGCGTGCCAGGGTCGGAGAGCTTGGCAGGCGTGGCACTTTCTCGATACCAGAGGGGTGCGCAGGGGGAAACCTCCCCTTCATAAACCACCCTTTAGTGAAAACGGCCTGAGACCGAAACCGACGGACCTGGGCCCGCAAAAATGACGCCCGCGACGCCCTCTCGCGAGCTGAAAACAGCCAATTCGCTAATCGACGTGTCAGGGTAGGAGCTATATCAACCTCAGAGTCTAGCATACAGAAAAGGTCTGAGGCTGGACATCACAGCCAGGAAGAGGCCCAAAATGCCCGGCGGAGGCTGGCCCAACTCTCCCCGGTGCGCCCGCCAGGCCAGCCTGCCGGCAGGCGGGAGCGCTGCCCCAGCCACGGCGCGCGCCCCGCAGCTCTGCGCGCAGCCGCAGCGGAGGCGGGAGCTGGCCAGGCCGCATCGCTTGGTTCTTTCTGGTAGTCTGTGTAACAACGACTTCCCTGTTCAACCGTATTACACCTTGGTCTTTTGGCAAGCTGAAGACGCCCCACAAAAAAAGCAGCGGCTTGGAAGCGTGTTTCAAAGGTGTCTGTCCATCGTTTCAGGCCAGGTCGATGTGGATAATTGTTTTGCATTGTTTGCCTTTCATGTCAAAAGCCGCTACTTGTCTTCACCGCCGTCTTCGCTCCCGCTCTCCTGCTCCTGCCGTTTCGGGTCGGTCTGTTCCGCGGCCGTCAAGTAGCGGGCCGCCACCCGCTGGATACGAAATTCAGAGGTTCTCTCGGCAACCGCCCGTCGACTCAAGGGCTTTGCCACCGAGGGGTCGGCTGTGGGCGGGCGGGGCAGGCAGCGCCAGGCTGGGAAAAGGGAAGATCGCAGTGCACGACAACAGAAGCGGAACACGGGGAGGATGGGCGCAGCAGGAGAAACAATGAACACTTAACTGCACCGGTACGCAACAATCAACGCGTAGCGTGTTGGCACGGAACTCCACACGTAGACTGAACACGTAGGTCTGGCTCGATACGTTCGCCAAAAAGTGGGCTAATGCGTGCCAAGCCAACACGCAACAACACGGCACGTGTGGTGTTTCAAGACGGGTGTATCATGACAACTAAGCAGGAGGAAAAAACAACAAAGATCGATGCGCGCAGCCTGCCGCTGGATTCTGGTCGGGGTAGGGGATCCACCCCGCCTCCCGCGCCGTCTCCAGCGGGATGCCTGGCGCGGCCAGCGGCCCCAGCCGGCGACGGCGCCGCCGACGCTGCTCTTGCCCCCGCTGCGGCTGCCGACAGAGTTGTTGCTGCTCCTCGATGGCTAACTGGCGGTTCGGTGCCGCCCCATTAAACTTAGGTCGCGCGTGTCCTCCTACAGGGGGATTTGGGACGGGAAAAATACCCACAAAATGCTCAAACATAGTTAAAAACATACGAAAATTGTAGCCCGACTATGGTTGACTATTTTTGAGTATTCCTCCTGTAGAAGGACAGGCCCGACTTAACATGAAGCGTGCCTGCGATAAGATTGGTGAAAATTGGGAGCCCAAGTCGCGATAGGCGCGACGGGCAGCGCGGCGGAGCGCACGAGACCCAAGGAAGACGAGGCACAAAACGCCCAGGGCCAGTCGGGCAGGATGTGCTGCTGCTCCTCCTCCTCCCCATCATCATCATCAGCATCATCGTCATCATCGTCATCATCATCATCCTGCATACATATATATATATATATATATATATCGCCAGTCGAACTATAAATCCCTCGAAGCAGCGCACATGGGAGAAGGAAGGGGGGGGAGGGGAAGAGGGCTACCCTCCGCCGCCGCCGCCGCCTGGCCCGCGGCCTGCCTGGCCCACCCACGGCCCGGGCGCCCGCCTGGCCCGCGGCCCGGCGCTCTCTCGCACCGCCGTCGGGCGTCCCCGATCCGCACCGCCGCGCAGCCGCGCGCACCATGCGCGCCGTGGGCGGGAGACGCGGGAGCCCCCCGGTCCACCAGGGGGGCCCTGTTTCCGAAGTGGGGTGGAGGAAGTGGAGAAGCCACCTGCCCATCCTCTATACTATCCTGAGGCCCCGGGGAAGGAGGGGGGGGAAGGTCGGAGGGAGCGGCCCTCCTCTTCCTCCTCCTCCTCCTCCTCCTCCTCCTCCTCCTCCTCCTCCTGCTCCCTCCTGCTCCTCCCTCCTCCTCCTCCTCCTCCTCCTCCTCCTCCTCCTCCTCCTCCTCCTCCTCCTCCTCCTCCTCCTCGTCCCCATCCACATCTTCCTCCTTGCACCGTTTCTTTCCCACTCGGACCATTCTCCTCATCTGCCCCTCAGCCCACCGCCCTGCTGCTCCTTCACCAGCCCCGCCTCCTCCATCACCCCACCTTCCTCCTCTCCTCCTCCTCCTCCTCTCCTTCTCCTCCTCCTCCTCCTCCTCCGCCTCCTCCTCCTCCTCCTCTTCCTCCTCCTCCTCCTTCTCCTCCTCCTTCTCCTCCCCCTCCTCCCATCCATGCGTCGCACAATCGCTCCGAATCCGAACCCCCACCATACTTCGCTCCTCTCCCACCGGGCGCAGCGCCCCGCAGCGCGAGCGTTACTTTTCGGCCGTCTTTCCTTCGAGCGGCCCAGGCCGCAGCAGCGAAGAGGGCGTGGTCGGTGGAGGACCTGCCGGCTCGCTGAGCGCTCCTCGCGGACACCCAGCGCAAGGAGGAGGAGGAAGAGGAGGAAGAGGAAAAGAGAGAGACAGAGAGAGGAGGAGGCAAGGTGAGGATGAGGAGGATAAAGATGACGATGAGGCAAGATGAGGGGGGAGGGGGGAGGTGGACGGGGAGGAGGAAAAGGAGGTGGAGGGGGAGGAAGAGGAGGAGGAGGAGCGAACGTCCACTGGCGGACGTCTGCTTCAGCTCTACGGGCGGCGGGTGGGGGCACTGGGCGCCGCCCGCGGAACGTCTGCAATGTGCTGTGGCCACCGAGGCGCGGCGGCAGAGCGGCGCTGACCAGCGCCGCCCGTGAGGTCAGGCGGCAACCTCAGCGCGTGTCGGGCGACCGTGAAGAAGTTGACGGTCTTGGAGTAGGACAGCACGCCCTCGGTCGCGGCCTCCTTGGACATGTGGTATGCGCGGCACGAGACCGCGAGGCGGGCGGCGGCGCTCCTGATGCCGTTCTCCCCGTCGTAGGGCTGCTCCGCGCCGCCCAATCCCATGCGGTGAAGTAGTTCTGGGGCCAGCTGTCCTCGAGGAAGTGCAGCGTGATGCATGAGTCGAGGGCATCTGAGGTAGTGATCGATGGCGTCCTTGTTGTTGCAGCCGAAGTGGCAGCTCCTCTTGGCGTGCAAGACATGCATCCTGTACGATGTCGCCCATCCACCGCTGAGGGTCTTCATCACAGCCCACAGTCTTGCTGGAGGTAGTTCTGCCAGGTGGGCCCTCAGCCGTAGCCAACGCTCCTTCATGTCGGACGGGAGAGCGCTCGCGCAGATGAGGTCGTCGGGGTCATCCGTCTCCATGTCGTCGGGCGGGTCAGGCTCGCCAGGCGGAGCAGGTTCGGGATGTACGTCACGTAGTGCATCAACCCATCGACGGCGGGCTCGATGTTCTGCAGCCAGCTCAGCTTCATGGCGGGATGCTTCCCGAAGGTCTTCAGCACGGGGGCCAGGATTGCCCAGCAAGCGGAGTTCCAACAGGCGGCGGCCGAAGGCGCCGTCCTCCCAAGCTTGGCGACACATCGCCCTCGCAATGGAGAACCTCTGAGTGTCGGTCTGGTACAGCGGGTGAAGTTCGTCTCTAAGAAGCACGCTTGCCACGTAGTTCTCGCACCAGTTCTGCCAGTCGGCCTGGCTGTCAATGCCCCGCTGGTTGAGGAAGATGTCGGGAAGCCAGCGCGCAGCCCATGCGGCGGCTCTTCGTCGAAGGCGGTCTTGAACGTCCTCAGCTTCCGCCAGACCTTCATCGCGTGGTGGGCGAGCGTGTTGTCGTCCAAAGTTGGCGGGGTACCGGGCGGAGAGGCGGCGCGTGATCGTGATGTGCATGGTGTCGTTGTACAGCTTCTTTTGTAGGGCGAGCTGGTAGGCCTTCTGCGGGGTGCGCTTCCTCCAGCGCGGTGCATCATCACACTCACGTTGAGCAAGCATAGCGTCCCGGCGCCCATGCGCGTTGGGCAACAGTGCCCTAGCAGCCTGGGCAGAGTAGCGAAGAGAGCGACGAGCACGCTGCGCAGCAAGAAGGCCTTGGTGAGCAGCATGGCGGCGTGCTTCACGAAGCGCGACACGGGCACGCAGCTCGCTACCAAGTTCACGGGCGATGCGTTTGAACGATGAGCCCTTCCCTTTGGCATAGAAGATGGACGTGAGGGAGCCCTTGAGCCGCTGGACGATGGACAACGGGTCTTGCCAGCACGGGGCGCTCCAGCGGCCCTCGATCACGGCGCGCAAAGGGAGCTCCAGCATCGCCGTCTCGTGGAGTTCGTCGTGAAGGTGCGTCCAGCTCTTGATGGTGAAGTGCGCCGTGCGCCACATCGTCGCAGCGAGGAGTGTCTCGATGCCGTTCGGGGTCTCGACATTCGCCCACAAGTTCATGGCTTGGACGTCGGTCTTGGCAAAGCAGTTCGGGGCGGCTCTCAGCAGTTTGTGGATGGCGTGGAGCTCCTTGGACAGCAGGTTGGCGGCGGCTCGTAAAGCTGTCCGACGTAGGAGAGGCAGGTGGCCGCGGCGACGGTGTACAGCCTGATGCATGTCTGGAGAGGGGCGTGTGATAACGAGTTTCTCAATGCGGTCCCACCACTTGCTTGCTGGTGCCTTCCACTGTTCTTGAGCTGCGGCACCTGGACCAACCATGAACCCAAGGTATCGGGCCATGGCCGCGACTTTGAAGTTCTGCCACGGAGGATGGATCTCGGTCAAGTAAGCACGGATCTCCTGGCGCAGCGGCTCTGTAGGGGGGGCCCAGGTGGGAACGATGATGCACTTCTTCGCTTGGAGCCTCAAGCCCGCCAGATGTTCAGCAGCGACAAAGTGAGGTACCAGTCGTTCGAGGTCTCGAAGGCGTGCAAGTATGATGCCGAGGTCGTCAGCACATGCACTGACTAACCCTCTCTGGACGGCCCGTAGCTCAGAGCTGATCGAGCGCGCGAATGGGTCGAACGTGAGTGCCCACAGCGCGCCGCTCAATGGACACCCCTGGGCGACACCCGAGGATGCGATGAAGAGCGGCCGCAGGACCCCATTCAGCTCGAGAAAGGACAGCGGCATGTAGTAGCAGGCGCGCAGGAGCTTGAGCACGCGGCCCGAAATGCCCCAGCGAGTCAGCACATTCCAAAGCCACTGGTGGCCTGTGCTCGGGAACGCCGCGGCGATGTCCAGGCTGATGAAAATGGGCTGGTCGTTCTCGGCGGATGGCTGCACGCTGAGCCTGCGGGCCTCGGTGTCCACGACCACGACGCTACGTAGGAACTGTCGTCCATTGACAAACCCTTGTTGTTCATGAGCTGTATCGGCAGCCAGGGTGTGGAGAGAGCGGTTGGCGGCTGAAGCAAGCAACTTGATGTCAGTGTTTTTCATGGAGAGAGGCCGCAGACAGTCGGGCGTTCGCGTGCATTCCGCCACGCCGAGCGGCTCGTCGCCCTTGGGAAGCATGGCCATGAGCGAGTGGTTGATGTCGAAGGGAGGCGAGCCCGAGTCGGGATCAGCAATGTCCTGAGCAAGCTCTGCGAGAACCGTGAGCGCCGACGGAGTTTGAAGCCGCGCGCGGCATGGTAGCCGATCGGGTCCAGGAGCAGAGTCACGTGCGAGACGTGCCGCTCGTTCCAGGGCATGGGCGTCTGGAATCGGTAGGTCGCGCACGGGGCGCTGAGTGAAGATGCCGTTCAAGTAGGAGCGGATGGCCGACTCGTCGACGGGCTTGGCGGCGAAGATCGGGGCCCAGTGCCACTGGGCCCAGTGCATCGCACCTGGCTCGGAGGTGGTGTGCAAGTCTGTGTTCGTCACGATCCTGATGCCCGGCAAGATCAGTCAGTCGCTTGGAGAACGGCTTCCATAGTTCGCCCCGTCGACCTTCGCGTCTGGCCTTGCGTCTCCAGCGGTCGCCCAGCTGGGTGTTCGACTCGGCGTAGGCGGCGCGAGAGCGCGCGGCGGCCTTGGCTCTCCGTTCTTCGATGAGAGCGGAGTGCGTGGTGTCAGCCTCGTTCTTGAACAGCGCAGGGCCAATCAAGGACACGTCCCCGTCCTGCACGCGCAGGTGGCGGGCAGCAAT